CCATGCTGCAGCTGATCACCGTGGTGAAGACAGTCCAGCCTACTGGTTTCAGGCTTTTTGGTCTCAAGGTCCCTTTTTCCTCCTAACACTTACTGAGGGAACCCCTAAAAGCACTTATTTTGTGGATTGCATTTGTTGATATTTGCTATATTAAAATTAAAACAGGGAATTTAGAAATTTCATTCAAAAACAGCACAAACTCATGACATGTCAACAGAAATAACATTTTAATGAAAAGGGACTCTGTTCCAAACCCCCAAAGTTCTAGCGAGGAGAGCTGCATTGTTGTACATTTTTGCGCATTTGTTCAGGCTCTGGCTTGGACAGCGACAGCTGGATTCTTAGGTCAGCCTCTGCATTCGGACCAGAACAGACCAAAACGTAGGGACAGAAAGTGGATTAGCAGTTTCCAGGGGATGGCTTCTCTTGCCGCATATAGCTTTGGTTGATGTATATGAAGAAAATCAGTCTCAGAAAAATAGGTGGTTGGGAGAGGGAGGAGCCTTTGTGAATGATTTCATTCTTACATTTCATACCCACACTCAACCAGCAAGGTTTCTTCAAGGTCAGTTGTTACAGCGATCTGAACCCATGGTGGTGAACTTTTCACGCTCTGTTGTGTTGAAGTCCACGGGTTTGCCTTCTGCCTTAAATGGCTCAGGTACCCACGTGCAATTTTGCAACATCTTGTATTGATCATTTGAAAATAATGGTTCACTGGGCTTTGCACCCCTTGCGGGTTCAGCACCTTCCGTCACATAGTATCAAAGAATCTCATCTCTGCACACTCATTGGGAAAGTCTTCACGTGTTGAGAGGCTGTCACACTCCTGGTGGCAGGTACAGGCTTTCCAAAATTGTAATTTTTCCCTGAAATCGTGACTTTTGTCATTGGCAGCAAAAACTATTATTTCCCTTGACAGGCTGACTTCATTCATTTTTGAGAAGATAGCCGACAAATGGCTACATCAGTTGTCCTTTCAAATTAAAAAAAAACATTCCATGAAAAAGCAGCTAGCTTACAGCATTAAACAATCTCACAAGTGCTCTGCCCTAGAAACAGTCGTCACTGTCCAGGAGAAGCACCTTACACGTGTGGCATACAAAGTACGGATGCACAAGGGTTGAGATTTAATATTGTTAACAATTTCTATTGCTTTGTCACTTTCTGATGTGAAACTGGCTTTTTTGAAAAAAATTAACTGCTAGTAATTGGTAATGAAGAATATAATATGTATTAGTGAGATCTGGTGCAATTGCATTGATTTGTGTTAAGGCACCAAAAATTTTTACCACCTATTGCTGCTGCTGTTTTTTTTTAAATAATTTTATTGAGATATAATTTACATACCATAAAATTTACCCACAGTGTAAAACTTGGTAGTTTGTAGTATCTTCATAGGGTTTTGCGACCATCCTCACAGTCAACATTTTCATCGCCCTCCTCCTGAAGAGCTTGTACCCACTTAGGAGTCATTCGCATTTCCCCGAAGCCTCCCCAGCCCCTGGCACCTGTACTTTGTGTGTCTGTGCATTGGTCTGTTCTGCTCATTTTACGTGACTGGAATCCTGCAGTAGGAGGTGGCCTTTTGTCCTTAGCTTCTTTCACTTCCCAGAATGTCTCCAAGATTCGCCCAGGCTGGAGCACATATCAGTACCTGATGCTTTTTATGGGTGTGTAACACCCCATTTTGTTTAGATAAATACCGGCTGATGAACCTTTGGACCGTCTCCCCCCACCACTGTTTTGAACTGTTGTTAATAATTCTACTTAATACAGTTGCACACACATTTTTACGTGGACACATTTTTCATTTCTCTTGTGTGCCTACCTGGGAGTGGAATTGCTGGGTCACATGGGAACTCTGTGTCACTTTTTGGGGAACTTCCAGATTGTTTTCCGAAGTGGCCGTGCCATTTTACAGTTCCACCTGCAGTGCACGAGGGTTCCAGTCTCTCTCTGTCCTGGCCAACACTTGTCATTGTCTTTGAACAGAGCCATCCGAGGGGATATGAAGTGGGATTTCTTGGTCGTTTTGATTTGCATTTCCCTGATGGCTAATCTGCCTTTAATAACCATCATTGAAATGGCAAATACTCTCTTAGTGTAATTATGAAAATAGTTTTGACCTAGGGAATCCCCTGAAAGGGCCTGTGGGTTCCCCAAGGATCAAGTCAGTCATTAAGCTGGTAGAAAATGTGAGTTGTTTTCAGCATCATTATTTCTCTTTGCTTGGACAGGGCATTGGCACCACCTCTTTTTTCCTATGAAGTGGATGTTGGGAGGCAGGAGGTTGTGGTGGGTCTGCTCAGGCCTGCTGTTCAGCTTAGTGAAGCCTGTTTTTCCTACTGGATCTGCGGCAAGGTTGGGAAGCTAGAAGAGATTTTGCCCCAATCTGAGTATGTAGTAACCTGAGATGGTCCTTTTAAATATGCAGCAGGAAGTTCTCCCAAATGTTGAGTGCCAGCTGAACCCTCACACAGGAGCACGTGGTCCCCAGCCTACGGGTGAGAAAACCGAGGCTGTACACAGCTTGCCCAGGTGTAGACAGGAGTTGAACTGCTGATACAGTGTTACGAAAGGGGACCAACCCCAGAATCAAAAAATTTTTTTTGTAACCAAATAAAGAGAAGTAGTTCTGGAACTGGCACTTCTTTCATAGCAGACTGTGTCACGAAGCTCATCTTGTGGCAGTAACAAAGCTTGGAGAAGTTTGGAAGATTTAAGATTTAAAAAAGAAAAATAAAGAACTTCCTGTGCTGGCTTTCCATAAAGGAGCTGTGTTCACCGCCTTAGAAAATTGGTTGAACGGTCAGGAGTCGCCTAGATGCATGTTCCTTGGCTTGATTTTTAATCACACTGAAGTATGACTTCTTACGGATGTTGCTTCTAATTTGTCTTGAAAGCAAGTACAGATGCCGCCAGCCTGGGTGTGATGGATGGTTTCTGACAGCGTGTAGTTACTTACACTTAGAATAAATGCCAGCCATTCGAAGCTCTCCATTTTCCCTGTAACTGAGGGTATCCAGCAGAACCTCGCATAACACGGGATCATATACCATGTTTTGATGTGACGCCGGTCTTCTCAGTATTGAAAATCTGTTTAGAGTGTGTAATCACTGGGGCTGAGAGCATCTTTAGAGATCAGGGTTCACATCCATTCCAGATATGGAAAATGTGAGTCTCTGTGTGACACCATATATGATGTAATTACAAGTGCTCTAAAACAAATCTAAGCGACTGAACCAGAAAACAATTAGACATCGGGGAGGGTACAGCTCAGCAACAGAGCATGTGCTTAGCATGCACAGGGTCCTGGGTTCAACCCCCAGTATCGTCACTGAAATAAACAAATAAATAAACCTAATTCCCCGCCCTACCCCACCCCCCAAAAAATGGAAAACAATTAGAAGAAAACTTAGAGGAATATCTTACCATCTGAAAAGATAGGATTTTCTAAGCATAAAATCAAAGAAACTTGAAAAATGTGTTAGCAGATTTAGCACTGTTAACGGATGGGAAAGCAGATAAGAGAAAAACATTTGCTCCCTACAAGGCATAAGTGTAATTTAAAGGACACCCGTACGAATGGGGGTGAAAAAGCGTGCAAGGCGCTGTGGATAAGTTTGGAGGGAGGGCACTCTGAAGAGAGGCCAGGTTGTCTGTGGAGGGGGCGGGACCCCTGCTTCTCTCGGCTTCAGGAAGAGACTCCACCTCAGAGGAGGAGTTTTCTCTTTACAGCTGCCTGGTCCTCTGGTGACTTCTGCCTGGAATTCTGCAAGGCCTGGTTGGGTGGGCATAGCCTTGGAGAGGAGGTGTCTGATGGGCAGGTGGACACAGTGACCTTTTGAAGCTCCTTCTGCCAGGAAATACAACAGGAGCCTTTTTAAACGACAGCTAAAAGGGCTCACTCACTTCCCTGGCTGTTCTGCCTGGAGCTTGTGGGGCCAGACAGACCAGGCTCAGGCATCCTTCCTCCTTCCCTGAAGAAGTAGGCCACCTGCTGGGATGGTTTGAGGGGAGGGGGGACCTGTGGGTAAGAGGGGACAGATGTGGAACTGATGCCCTGGAGAGGGGCCAGGCCCGCCGAGTCTGTCTGGGAGTGTGGGTCCCAGCTGCGAAGTACAGGAGAAGGCTCGCGGCGGCAGCGCTGATGAAGTTACTGCACAGACCTGAGCGTCACTGTTCTCTTGTGAACCTCCTGAGCAGGAGAGGGTGGGGTCCAGCAGGCACATTTGGAAGGGGCACTGAGAGCCACCTGGAGGTCAGGAGCTTTGTTGGGGGGGCACTTGGGAGGCAGCACGGCCTGGGCAAGGCGCACGCCTTCTGTTGGGTCCTCTGTAAAGTGGGCGTGAGGATCATGTCCCTTTGGATCCAGAGACTGAACGACTTCCCGGCCCCACTGGGCTCACAGCAGGCACCTAGTGCGTGTCAGCTGTTAACTGCTGTCAGGGCTTTTGGAGTGGAAGTAGGTCTGGCCCAGGGCTCCCGTGCCTCTCTCGCTCTGCTGTGGTCACCCAGGGGTCTGGTGCCACAGCTACATCTTGACCGATGTGTCATCAGATCTGCAGCCTCACGTGTTAAGTTTAAAGAAAACATATGATCATTTCTAGAGCCCCTGTATCTTTATACATGAAGTGGCCCTGCTCTTGGAATGTGACTCTTTGTTTTGGTTTCTTCATTTTAATTCCACTGTTTTGTTTAAGGGGTGTGTGTGTGTGTGTGTGTGTGTGTGTGTAGGGATTTTTAAAATGGATTATTCAATTGTTTCAACCAAAGCAAATGATTCTTAGTCTGTGTTTATAACTTCTGCTTTGGTCTCTCCATGCTAGGATTATTCCTGTTCTTTGTGGTGCTTGACTTGAGGGCATATGAGACGCGGTGTTTGTCTGGAATGTTTTCCTTCTCTTTCTCCTTTTGTCTTCAGGGGGTATGGGGACAAGACAGTGGGCAGCACACCCGATGTAGTGACTTTGTTCTTCTCTCTCCTTCCTTTCCAGTTTTCAATGGTTCCAGCAGGTCATCACGGGAGAAGGAACCTGTTCAGAAACACAAAAGCAAAGAGGCCACTCCCGCGAAGGAGAAGCACAGCGAGCCCCGGGCCGACAGCCGAAGGGAGCAGGCTTCCGTCAGCCTACCCACCGCGACCCCCTCCGCGGGGGGCTCCTCGGCCAAGGGGCTCGCCGCCACCCACCACCACCCGCCTCTGCATCGGTCGGCTCAGGACTTAAGGAAACAGGTAAAGCCCTGCCTAGCCTGGCCGTACAGGGGACCCTGATCACCAAGTTAACTGAAGGGGAAATCCATGTTTCCAGGGCTCAGAAAGCAGGAAAGGATGCTCAGAGGGGAGAGGGGGCGAGAGAAACGCAACCCGGGCGCAGAAGTGCCGGTGCCTGCGCCTCCCCTCCCGTTGGTGGATTCGCATCCCTCCCTGGAAGATGCTGCCATCACCCGGTGCCACCAGCTGCGTGCTCTCTCGAGCTGGGATGTTCTAGAAGGGTAGGGAGGGAACGCCCCTTCATTACCCTCTTCCATCCCCGTGTCCCGGGCGCCAGGTGAGGCGCAGAGTACTGGGGAGGGAGCAGCGTTTTCTCAGGTTAGGTCAGGGCCACACTTTACCTTGGAACAGGCCAGCAGCGGAACCAGCAGTGGACGGCCTGGGCTGTACCTCTTCCTGATGGACACGTTAGTGTCTCACGGCCAGGACTGCTGAGCCGCTGCAGGTGGGGGTGAGACAGGGTGCAGGTGCAACAGGACACTTACTCCCCCAGTGCATTTCTGTTCTGCACCCTTGGGATCAGCAGAGTCCGCACACCCTCTGCTCCCCCTGCCCCCCACTTCAGGATCAGATACAGAGCGCAGATCCTGTCGGACAGCGCTTTCTGTCCTTGGCTGTGACTTCCTGGGACCCAGGACAGAGACAGCAGGGAGAGAGGAGGTGCCTGGCGCTCCGCTGTGGGGCTCTCCCAGGACAGGTGGCGCTTCCTTGACCCCTCTACTCCCTGTTCTCTCTCGGTGTCAAAGTCGGTGAGCCACGAGGATCACAGACGAGGACTTGCTCCTCATTGGGAATCTTGTAACGTGCAATTAAGTTTTTCCCTAGAATAGACCGAAGATTGTGATCTTGAAAGATTGATTCGGGTGAGGTGAGGGTGGACCTGAGGTTCCTTGACCGGCAGTGTTGTCGAGTGACTGAAAGATGGTCATTGTGGTGTCAGGGTTGGAGTTTCTCTTTTGTTGAACCGTTCTTTCCCCCTGGTCTTGCTCGTTCTTGATAATGTTAGAAATGGTTCTCTCTGACTCTGTGACTGTATTCATGTATGTACACAGGATTGTGTGTGTGTACACACGTGTGTTATTAGTCTTAACCTTTAGCTTTCAGACACCACTCAGCTCTCAGTTGGGGAAGACAAGGCACGAACCCTCATGGGTCTGTTTCTGTGGTCCTCAGATCACCGCTGCATGCTTTGCACTGTTATCTTGAGATTGAACAACTGGTTTTGCATATTTTGCTCACCGTTCCCCAGAGTTCACAGTTTTCCTCATGGGAACACCCAAGCGTGTTTGTGGAATTGGCCTCCCCTATGCCAGGAGCCCAGTTTTCAGGACCAAGAGGCATAAAGCACAGGGCACACCATCCCTTTGGTGTCTTGTCTACTCAGGTTCCAAAGCTGTTGGCCGGACAGGGATTTGTCCCTCCAGAACTTGCCTCCCAATGTTTCCTTATGAAAGAGAGCAATTCAAAGCCTAAAAATTTCAGAGGGGAGGCATTTGTGGGCCAGGAATCTCACTAAGGGATGAATGTGTGACTTCTCACATAGAACCATAGTCACACGCACACACATACTCTTCTCTTTCATGTTTGAGGCTGGAGTGATCCATGCTCATCCTCAGCCCCCAGGGCTTATCCGTCAGTTCAGGATCTCCCTTTGTGACTGAACAAGGGGAGTTCCCATAGTTGGAGGGAAGAGTGGAGGGGAGCAGAAGGCACCCCCTGCTCCACAGTGTGCATGTGTGGCCCGTTTCATGCGCAGTCCTGGAGGCAGAGGAGCGACCTGGGCACCCTTGGGGTGCAGACCCCCATTGTCCGAGCAACTGCGGGAGTCCGGCTGGCTTTCCAGGCTCGGCTCTTGGAGGCAGGGTGTAACCACTTCCTCCGCTCTCCACCCACCTCCTCCCCTCTCCTGCCCGCCCCACCTTCCCCCATCAGGTCCTTGGGATGGGGTAACCTGGGCTCCCAGCTGGGCTCTGACCACGACCTTCGCTGAGAGTTCAGCTGTGACATGTAACCTTCCTGGGCTGTATTGTGCATTTGGAGCCAGTGATGCCAGTTCCTCTCCCAGGGATATTGCGAGAAATGAAAGGATAATTTTGATGCCATCAAATCCCATTAGTTAAGTACTCTGAAAAAAAAAGGTCAATAAAAGCCAATTGTCGATTCCTTTGTAACAGCCTGATGCCAGTGATTAGAATCTGACCTTTCATCTTTTCAACTGCATAAAAGACGGGGGTCCAGAGAATACTTGGATCTGTAATTTTGATTATTTTTTTTCATTCAGCCTAAAAGGAAAAAAACAGTGCGATAGTACAGGGCCGGGCTGGGTGAAGGGAGCAGTGTTTAGAGGGAGCTGCCGAGAAGTGACTTTGCCCTTCTTCCCTGATGCACCCAGGCGCAGAGAACACTTTCTGCTAGGATAGCTCCTCTTCCCCCGTTGCCTTGCACAGTGCTGTGTGGTAGTTTTTTGTTCTTTAAAAAGCCCTGGACTTGAGCATGTGAACTCAGTGTGAGGGGCCTGGCCAGCCCTCCAGCTCTGATTATACCAGAGGCGCTGTGACTGCCACATAACATGCACGGGTGTGTGGCTGCCCCAGATGGTGATTTGGATGTGTGGTGGGTGTCCGACAAAGGAGTGTTTCCTGCCAATGATACTTACATTATATGCAGTAAAAGGCAGAACAAATTTAGGATGGGGAAACTCTCCTTGCACCTGGAGAAGGTTTGGAAATGTTAGTTTTCTAAGCATGTCGTGTGGTGTTTGCAAAGAAGTTTGTGTGTTCGGTAAGTCAGGATGTGGATGGCTAGGCTGCACCGAACGGGGTCACCTGCCTGTTCTCACCTGTGCGCCAAGGCCGAGCTGTAAGGTGAAGAAACGCGTGGAGCGTGGGCAGCCGGCCAGGCCATCTGCCGGGCTGCTTGGGTCAGATGTACGGGGCTCACAGAACATCTTGGCTGAGTAAGGCTGAGAGGAGAGGGTTTAGCTGTTCAGAACTGCTAGTGTTCTTTTAACATTCTGGAAAATGGAAAAATGAGCATCTAGAGAGAAAAATGTGAGAAACTCTCCTTAGCTCGAAGAATGTTTAAGGTCTTACTTGCTGCTCATCAGGTCACCCGGAGAGTTTGAATTGGTGCTCTTTGTGACCAGGGTACAAGGCCTACAGAGGGAGCAGGCTTTGTAGAAAGATTCAGGGTCCCTCAGGACCCAGGTGTTTTTGGAGAGTGGGGCTGCCTGTCAGCCAGCCGTGTCCCTCTGCTCACTACTGTCTTTAACCTTTCTCCAGCCCAGGGCCCTGCCTTCCCTGTCCATAACTCACTGCCTGTCCAGTGGATTCTGTTCATTTAGGCTTTCTTGCTTTTTAACTTGAGTTTTAAAGTCTAAATGCACTGTCTCCAACCAACCATGTTTCTCCTAGGCAGAGCCAGCTGACTCACTGGCTCCCTCTAGTGAGAAATGAAAGCCTGACAATTTCTGGTTGGAGTGAGGACAGCTTCTGAGACCCCACGGCTGTGTGCCTGTGGTAACCTGAGCTACAAGTGGTCAAGACACCACACGTCCTGCAGAGCTGAGTGACATTTGTGGGGGAGTGGGGTTCAAAGTCAGAAATCCATATTAAGCCGAGAAGGAGCAACTTGAAGAGATGTAGGGGGCTCTGCCATGAGCCTCCTTTGTGTTAATTCTCCAGTGAGTTAAAATGCCCTGTCTCTTCTGTGCTCAGTGCATGCGCTTCTTCAGGATGCATAGCAGTGAGACGGGCCCCAGTGGTTACCTGGCCGTGGGTCAAGGTGAAACTTAAGTGTTTGGTTCTGTCCTGTGAGGTGGTGGTTGGGAGGAGATGCTCAGTGGGAAGGTGAGACAGTGCCTTCCTCCACTGCTTTGCTGTCTTTGGTACCAATTACACATTGGATCCCCAGAGATGAGCGCAGGCCAAGGAACAGGCATCTGTGTTTACAGAGATGTGTAAACAAGGTGTTGCTTTTAGTTAAATCAGATTCTACTGTGGGAAAATTTCCCTCCCAGCAGGCTGGGAGGTCAGGTGCCCCGGAGAAGCCAGAATGCACGGACCCAGGGGCCCTGCGCTCTTCTTTGAGGTAGAATCTGGGACATGTGGACGTCCGGCTCCCAGTCTCCCACAGGTGGACCACAGTGTGGGGGAGGGCAGGGCCGAAACGTTCGGGAACATGAAGCTGTTGGGGAATGTACAAACACTGCTCCCCTTTCTCCACCTTCACTGATTAGATCAGAATCTGGATTGAGGGGGTGGTCAGACTGGAATCAGCATTATTTTCAAGCTCCCCAGGGCTTCATAGGGCTTCCAGGTTTGAGAAGCTCGAAAGTCGAGCCTCAGCAGGATATGCAGCTGATGGTGCGCTTTGCTGGCAGAACATGGTGGCGTCCGGCACTGCACGCTGGTTGTCGTTTTCGCAGGCGGTTTCTCCTCTTCAAGGAGAGATTAATGGTGCCGTGTAGTCCGCTCACGTGCGAGCTGGGTGAGGAGTCTGAACAGGTTTACTCTCAATGGTTAACCGCAGATTGAGGGCCTCAAGGGGTGTCTTCTCTGAAGGTGCGGATCCCGGAGCATCTGGCTGATGGAAACCTCCCTCTGTGAGCCTCAGCAGGATTTTACTGTTTGCTTTAGTTCTTTTAAATGGTTTGTTTTGTTTTTAGTCAATGGAATTGTTTGAAAGAACAGTTAAAAATTAGAGATATTTGCATTCCTCACCATGCGTCCTGTTCCAAATTAGTGATAGTTACCATGGAAATTTTGTCTTTGCCCCTACCCCTGGTTTTATAAATTTGTTTTTAATTTATTTCTGCCAGGCTGCTAGTTTTGTTTCGTTATTTCCTGTTCTATGTTCCAGACCCTCTTCCCACCTGACCTGTCAGTGCTGCTGCCTTCTTGGGTGGGTGGCCTGCAGCGGTGCATCCGGGCTGTTACCCCCGGGTCTTCCCTTCGGCCTCTCCCTCCACTAGGGCTTGGGGCCTCACTGAGTCTAGAATTCAGGGTTGGCTCATGGAACACGATCTCAGCCAAGAATTGATGGCTTTGATTGGACCGAGTATAATTGGCACAGGAGGACATACAGATTTTGGGTGCTTCTTTCCTTTTTCTGTTTTCAGAACCTTCTGATACTTTGCAGCAAAGTAAGTCCTCAGATAAGGCTCAGTATCTGGGACCTCATTAGAAATGCAGATTCTTGGGCTCCCTCCCGCTCGGACCTACCAGGTGGGAGGCTCTGGGGGCGGGGCTCGGGCCTGTCTTCCAGAACCCTGCCCTGGTGGCGGGGCGTCTGCACAGCCCGTGGGTGCGCTGGGTGTGGACTGGAGCCAAACTGCTGTAGGCGCAGCTGGACGGTCCACTCCCTGACTCCTCTTCTGGTCACCTTCTCCTCGAGGCTTATTGGTGAGAGCTGTTTTTTCTGCTCTGTTTCCCAGTGATGGCGTTATTTTTAGTCTGCCCCTCTGGGAGGTGGTGGTGCTTAGGGAACCCTGGCGCCCTGGTTTTGATCTCATCTTGCCAGTGAGGAATCATTGCCCAAGATGGGCACGTCCAAGGCCTCTGAGAGGCAGAGTTGTGACCTGGTGTCCACCCAAAGTCAGCCCAGCCGTGGCTCCCACTGTGGGCCTGGCATCATTCTTTGGAAATTACTGCTTTTCTGGTGTCCACCTTTGTCACTCTCTGGCTCCTTTTTATAAATGAGGGTGACTTCTGTGTGTCACAAAATTAGTTTGGTGTCCAAGCTGAAGACAGTCATGAAGAGAAACTGATCGTTTATCAAATTCCTGTGGAACCGAACGTGGATGTTTGTAGAGGACAGGAAATGGGAGCTGCCTGGACACAAGGGGTTGGGCCTGTTTTGCTTTGTCACGGAGGTGAGGTGTGTCCCGCGAGGCACCTGGGCTGCAGTCTTAACAGGTGCCCACGACTGTCATCCACACCTCTGGGTCTGGCCTGTGACCAGCATCTGAGCCACGTGAGTGCTCTTGTTCCTTTCCTTCCATAGCGTTTTTATTTCATTCTCTATTTAGCACGTAGATTTTAAAATTCTGTGGGCAGATCATGCTGTTACGTCAGGTATTCAAAAAATAGCCACCGTGTCACTTGGAGCTGGGGGGGGTGTGTATGTGCACGTGCGTGTGGTGTGCATCCTCTTCTCCCAGATCGGCAGGACCTTGATACTGTGAATATTCTTAACCTGTGACAGAGGTTGGCAGGCATATGGAGGGTCCTCACTGGAAACATCTGGTTTCTAACAACAGATGTGAGTGGTAAACACACCCAGATACACATGGGGCAGCCCCCAGGCCTGGCTGTGTGTTTCTGTGCAGAACAACGGGTGCTTCCTCCTGCAGACTCTGAAACAGTGTTTCAGAGTGGACTTTGGGGCCGGGTGTTCTGCCTGCCTTGGCCGGGACCCCTGTTGCCTCTTCTCAAAGGCAGGCACAGGCTGCTTAGTCACAGCGGGTGGGGTCACCTGCTGCCGTGCACTAATTCTGCTCCCCCCCCTTCTGCTGCCTCCCAGGTTTCTAAGGTCAATGGAGTCACTCGAATGTCATCTCTGGGTACAAGTGCAACCAGTGCCAAAAAGATGCGCGAAGTCAGACCTTCACCGTCCAAAACTGTGAAGTACACTGCAACGGTGACGAAGGGGACTGTCACATACACCAAAGCCAAGAGAGAACTGGTCAAGGAAACCAAACCCAATCACCACAAGCCCAGTTCAGCTGTCAACCACACAATCTCAGGGAAAACTGAAAGTAGCAATGCAAAAACCCGCAAACAGGTGCTATCCCTCGGGGGGGCGTCCAAGTCCACCGGGCCCGCCGTCAATGGCCTCAAGGTCAGCGGCAGGTTGAACCCAAAGTCATGCACTAAGGAGGTGGGGGGGCGGCAGCTGAGGGAGGGGCTGCGGAACTCCAAGCGGAGGCTGGAAGGAGGCCGCCCGTCGCCGACGACGCCGCACGCCGCCCCCGAACGAACGGCGTACGGGAACGGGGCCGGGCCGGACGGGCCCCGGACGACGGGAACGGC